CTGGCAGGTTACAATATACATGAGATTTCTGTTAACCAATGCATGAACATCTCCTTGAAACCCACTCCCCATTCAGGCGTGCTCGATCACTATAGCTTACCAGCAAGTTACAAACTCTGTCTGTGGCATGGAACTGTGGCGATCCTTGCAGGAATCCATGGGAATACAGCTCAGCCTTATCACTTTCCATTCGACAGTACTGAACCATCCATGTGATCTGTCTGAGTCTAAAACTGCAATCATAGCCCCTGCCTGCTCTCAACACTTCCCAGCAGTCATGTGCAGCATTTCTAGGTGAAGTTGCTGTACCTGCTGGAAATGTATTATCATTATCCTGATTAACAAAATGATGGATCATATAGGAGACTTTTTTAAGAGTAGACCAATCTGGCTGTAGAATTTTATACTTTACACTAATGAGAGCTTTGTTCCCTATCACTATGACTAAAAGATAATTATATTTATCAGTGTTAATGGCATGCACTATTAGTAATAATATACTTCTACAGCATACATTTTTGGAATTGAAGTATTTTATCATAAATTTGAAAAACTGTTAGCAATTATGTGATAAATCTGCAAAATAAATTCACTAAACAAATAGTTCATAATTATATCAATATTACTTATGATCATAAATCATGCTTAATATAACAAGAAAATATATGCAAGGAGGGTAAAGATTAGTCTCTGTTTTGCTAACTGCCAATGACTCCAGCTGCTAGAAGAGTCTATGGTGCAAAATGTGCTTTACTTAATGACCAGTGAGTTAGTACACAATAGTAACTCCTCAGAGTTGCGAGGTATTTTGCACTTTAAAACATTTAACCCTTATCATTATATTTGATCCTCAAAACAATCTTGATGATAATTAATGTCACCCACTAACTTTATAAATCAAGGAGATTATGGAGTAATTATGGATAGAAAAATGTCACATCCAAGGTCAAATGGTCAAACTGAAGCTGTACTATAAGTTCATAAACTATAGTACGTAGTTCATAAGCTAATGACTAGTAAGATCTGATTTTATTCCAAGAAGTACAAGTTATTTTTTATACAAGAAGATGAAATGTAAAGATCAAATTAATAGAGTTAATATTTGATCTTCTAATGAATGAACAGCTTGTACTATTTTCCCCCTGAGGACCTGAAAATTAAAAGTCACACACTGCACTCTACATCAATAGATGAGGCTCACGTGTTTACCCTGATCCAGAGAAGGGGCACGTCAGTCAAACCTGAGCCTCATTAGAGTTCCTGCTATTTCAGTGAATCCATGACCCTCTCCATGGCACAGGACAAATAATCATAGCTGGCATTCTATGCATAATTATAGCAAACATCTGAAACAGTGTGATTACTCTTTTGGTTACTGCTGTCAATTTAACAGGCTTGTCAGGGATACAAAATGATGCTTCCTATTTGCATCTCTAAATTCACAGGTGAGAGTCCACTTGCATGGGAACAAATACTTCAGGGTGCCAAAGACCAGAGAACACATCGTGCAACATGTAAGTATTTAATTATTTTGTTTTGTGAGACAGGGTTTTGCTATGTAGTTCAGGCTGGCCTTGAATTCGCAGGAGGCCTCTTGCCTTAGCCTCTCTTTTACATACTACCATCTTCTACCCAATGACTTGGGGTTTAAAAAAGAAAAAAATTTTCCATAACAGAAGGATATGCAGCAAAAACAATTAGCCAATATGATGAAAACTGAAACGATGAGCACAACACATTTTTATAGTCCCCTAAATGGATTGGCATGGATAGTCTTTTGCCACCTTTAAATATTGCTTCTCTGTTAACAAAGCAAATATACCCTTCCCAACCAAAATACATGGCTCCACTCCCTGATGCTCATTATTCAAGGCTCGTCAATCCCAAAAGACTGGCCAAAATCTTGCCTCTCATGTAGACACTGATGGCACAAGTGGAATGAACTCACCTAGGAACCCCACGACCTGCAGACGGGTCAGCGGGAAAGTGTTGATAACCTAACCAAAGCCCTTCTCGGTATCTCCAACTGTCTTCCCGATTGACAAAGGGAAGAACTACATGTTAAACTCTTTTCCAGTTCTATGACTCCAAGACTTTAGTATGAATGCATGAGAAAGAGCGCTGGCTTGAAAGAAAGCAGGGAGGAAATAAGTTTGGTTACTACTCATCAAGGGAGAGCCAGTTGTTATGCTGTTCTGGAATTTTGTTATAGTTACTATGGCAATCCCACATTAGCATTGATCTATCATTACTTCCCCTCCACAGAATGGATTAGTACCCTCAGGGTACAAGAAAACATTCAATGATCTAGTAAAAATCAGTTCCATCCTGGAATTCTCATGTCATAAAACTCAAATTCATGTCACCTCTCCTGAATTATTCTTACAAAAGCAATTGAAACAAAATTGGAAAACAAAGGCCTTATCTCTGATTTTTAGAAACACACAACGTAATATATTGAATAGCTTGTGAAAATGGTCATAATTTTGAAACGAATTTCAAAGAAAATCATAGAATAATAAAATAGTGGAGTTACAAAAATGATGAGGTTATATAACCCAACCTCAAACAATATAATTCTTTAAAATTAGAAAGAGTTCCAGATATGATTGTCCATATTGCTGCACGGCACTTCAATATGCTCTTGCACGTCAGGTATTCCATCGCTCAGTAAAATGGAAGTAATATGTTTTATCTACCCCCAGAGAGCTGCAGTAAAAATACTTGCCGAAAAAATTAAGACAATGAAATATAACTTCTAGATAAATATAAAGGTTTGAGCCAATATAATGAATTTCAATCCCCCAAAAAGATCATCTAGAATTGATACCCCATGGATTCACTTCTGAAAAAACTAACATAAAAATATTTTTCCAAAGGAATTTCAGAGATTGGAAAAAGATTTTTTTATGGTTTAGCATAATCCAATCTAAAAATCCAACTTTTTCTTGACTACTTCACAAATCATTCTCTGTAAGTATTTGTTGCAATGATGTATAAGTAACATTACCAAATTTGAAAGCAGAAAATTATGAAAAAAGAGAGAAAACAGTTAGGGAAGAAGCTGGAGAGAGGAAAGAAGAGGGAAGGGAAGGATGAAGAGGAAGGGGAAGACAGAGAAAGAGACAGAGACAGAGAGAGAGAGAGTCTGACTGGGATTCTAATCCCAAAAGGATTTTACTAAAGGGCAAAACCATCAAAAAAAAAAAAAAATCCAATAAATTAGTAAAGTAGGAAAGCTCACGTACTCTACTATCTACCTAGAACAGAAAAAGTAACTGGTCTATGCAATCAAACTTCAAGGCTTTATTTTTATTTGGTTGCTGTTCATTTGTTGCTGTTGTTTTATGTTTGAGGCAGAAAGGGGGAACCTAGATTTTAGGGTAAACAATATTGGGTAGAAGTACTTTAAAGACCAGAAGAAAATTGCATTATCTTCTTTTTTACAACAGTATGAAAGGTGATGGGTCAAAAATTTTTAAAAATATATGAAAAGAATTTGACAAAAATGATACAGTTAACTAAAAAAACTATAAAATAATATATAAAGGCATTCAAAAATAGCTAACAAAGCACAAAACTTTACAAAATCAATGAAAAGTAGAACAATGAGAATAAAATAAAAATGACCTACAACATAAACAGTTACTAACTGGGAAAGAGCATGGCCCACTTTTAGTGCGCAAAACCCCTTGAGAAAAAGGTTATTAGCAGAATATTTTATAAAAGAAAATTATAACATGTGGGTACCACGTAAATATAAGTTGATGTGGAAAGTATGTGGGCACTTTTCTACTTTCACAGTCAGAGCTTAAAATAGGAAAGCAAACCCCGGAGATAACAGACATAATACCTAGGAGAGAAATGTAATCTAACCTCACAGTAGCAGTGGTGAGGTAACTCCTGTGCTGAAAAGCTCAGAGAATAATGGGTAAAGGCAGACCAGCTCAATTCACATGTGCAGGCTGAAGCTGCAGGCTGGATTCAAGACAGCGCCATAACTCCTACTGGCCACAAAATCACAGAGAAGGTCACCTCTTCTTTCTAAGCTGCTATTTCGTTATGGAAAAATAAAACAGGCAGGGCATTGTCATAAAAATGCAGCAATATAATAATGAGGAAACATAGAGCTTCTTATGTAGAGCACGTCTTCAGAAAGGTACTAGAAAGGGGCAGGGCAATTACAGAAAATAAAGGAAGGGTCTCTTATCATCTCCTCTACTTTTTCAGCTCCCAGAAGTTTAATGTTCTTCTGTTAATTTTAGGTTATGTCTTTGTGAGCTATTGACATTGCTTGGACAAAACAGGGAACCTCTTTAGCCAAACCGTATGGCATCATCTGTACTGCTCTTGTGGGATACTACAGAAGAATGTAGTATGTATATCCACACACATGTGAACGCTCGGCTCATGTGCACTTTCAAAGGCCATCTGATGTAAACTGAAAGGGCTATTAAAACTCCTAAAACTAAGATTCACTTAGAATTATCTACAAGCTTCAACAAATACTGATCTCATAGAGATCTTCAGGCTACTTTACCCTACAACACCCTAAGGAAGCCGAACTAGCCAGACAAAGAAAAGCAAATTGCAAGGAATTTCTTATGTTCACTCTATACAGGTTTCTCCTTGGATTATTCCTTGTTGGCATTTTGGTACACTTGTGGCAAGAGGAAAAAAATCATTGGGTGATGGATGCATCACTTTGAAAGAATGGTATAAGATAAGGGAAAAAGGCCCTGAGCTATGAATGAATTTCCAGTTTAGGCTCTCATCCTATTTATAACTGTATAACCACATCCTTATCATCAGTGACATCTTCATTTCTGCATTTCTAAAAGAGAGGTTGATCCAGAATGAATACTTGAGGTTTATTAACCTTTTGTACTCTTCAAATTCATGAGCTCCCATTTTCCAATACAAAATTTCACTGACCAATCACCTATATTATACCGAATTTTCCTACCCTAGATGCCCAACTCTGAAATACCAGCACTTACCCTCAACTCCAGGTTGCTTATATGGGTTGTACTTGGGCTTTGGAGCCACAACTGGGGCAAACTTCTTGGGTGGCTGTTGTGTAGACACCGAAATACTGGGAGTCCCAAAAGAATGGGTGGTCTCCATCCGCGCGGAAACATGGCCAAGGGGCTCACCAGTGCTTTTGGGTGGCAGCCAAGTTGGATGAGACATAGTTGAGATCTGCAATCAAAAAGAAATAAATGCCGTTTTTATGGACGTTTGCAGTTGAAGGTGACATCTCACTTCATGTTATTACATCTTAATCTATACTTAATATATCTTTATAAAGATGCATTGTATTATCTGCAAAAGAGAAGAATGAAGGAAGAAATAAGGATGAAAGAATGCAGGAGAAATAAAGAAGAGGAAGGGGCATAATCAGAACAAGGATGAGGAGCGAGTTAAAGATGAATAATGGGTGGAGGAAAAGGAGGAGGTAACAGTGGAGAAAAGCAGTCCCTTGTCCTGGAATACCTCACTTCTAATAATTACCTATTCAGCCATAGGCACTCTCGGAGAAGCAGATAAGAATAAGAAATACTTCCTAGCTTGAAAAAGTTTCTATGTAGGAAATTGGAGGGAAAGGTTCAGTTTTACCAATCATATATTAAAAAAATTACTACACCAATTAAATGGTGGCACCTAAACAATGCAATAAGTTACCTGAGATTTAAAACAAGCATTGCTGGGGTGAAGGAAAAGATCAAATAACTTCTTTCTGGCAGCAGAACCAAGAGGACTTCACTGATAAGTGTCACTCAGACAGGGGCAGCAGCACTGAAGAGAAAATGCTCCTGAACAATGGTAGTCACATTACAGGGGCAAAAACATATGTGGCACCTATGTGGCTGCAGGGGCAAAGAAACGAAAGTAGCTCACAAAAGAAATGCAACGCGTGGGGCCAAAATGAAACCAAAGTGAGACAACTTTGCACGTGGACCTGACGAACTTAAAATGTGTCTTCTGAAGACAGGAAGGTCACACTAAACATGAGAGTCTAAAATGATCTCCTGTTCAAGGGAAGGGACCAAGGAAGAGAGGGAGAGGAAAGGGAGGGGAGAAGAGGATAAAAAATTTAAGATGTGTTATGTAGCTGGGTCAACTCCCTATGGCGAATGTAATGTACTGCAAACACATACCAATAGAAAAAAAAATAATTAATAAAATAAAATAAGCACTCTTGTGAAAGCAGCTGTGCTCCCTACCAAGAGGCCAATGGGAAGTGGAGACACTGGTTTTTACAGTGCCTGGAACAAAACCCAGCACAGGATTATCCAATTCCTATGATGCATGGATCAGCCCTGCACTACCAACACAGAAAAAATTGTCATCAAGAGCTCTGCTGAGCTGAGAGCATATTGGAGTTTTTCACTTCTAACTACAAGAGGCGCAGCTAGGCCAGTCTGGATGCTGTTCCGATAGGTGCATACACATCATGTGAAGAAATGAAAATGATGTCGCCTTGTCAGAGAGGCCAATCACTCCTTCAGGCAGCCTTCCTGCTGCTAAGGACAGCTCTCCAAGCCTGATTGCAAGAGCTCTCCAGCACAGGGAGGCCCGGAAGGTGTCTCGCACCACTCCCAGCCCCAAATCCAACTAGTAATTTATTAATTGAACTGAATTAATTAAGAGGGCTACATGATTACCTCCAGATGTCTGCAAAGACAAAGAACACAGGAAATGTGGAGAAAATTAAGGGCTCAGCTCATGGCACAGTGAGAGACAGAGGCAGGGAAACGAGCAGTGTTCGGACAGTGTCATTAACAAATGAACACCCGTCCATATCACAAATGAGTGGCTTGACCCCGGACTCTCCAATGCCATAAATACCCCCACACTCTCAGAATTAAAACTCAGGAAAGCCTGTCTTCCTCAATACCAAGAGCTTTTATATATGGGACAATCCTAAACTGTTTTATACAATGCTACATAAAATGAATGGAAAGGAGTTCCTCCATCCTCAGATGAAACCGCTGAGAACTATCTGATCATCTTACATCGAGAAAAAGAAAAGCAGCTGCAGATTTCTTTATACAAGAGGATAACATAAAATTGGGAATCAGGACACATGTCAAGAAAGCAAGTGATGTGGGTAATTTTTCTCTCTGGTTACATATTGCTTCTTTTCTTTTGCTTTTATTTTTATATGTATAACAGTATGTATATGAATACATATACTTGCAAAATTGAGGTATCTTTAAAAAAGACAAGGACCATATTGTACATGTTCCTAAACTACTACTACGGTATGGCGCAAAACCAATGTGGAGAAACAATCCATATGGGTCTTTTTTACTCATAGTTATCAAATCTGGTTGTAGGCTTGGAATCACTGAGAAAAAAAAAAAAAAACACACATTTAAGTACCAAACCAAGCCCATCTCTCAGGGCTGAGATATATCAATTTTGTTTTGGTTTTTAATTGTATCTCAATCTTCTACCAAATGGGGATCAAAGTATTTTTTTCTCTCAATATGACTAATCTGAATACGAATGAAGAATAAATGGCATCAAAAAAGGTTTAGAAGTTTTAGTGCTCTCTATATATTTATAGCATGTATATTCATTGTACATTTTTTAAATGGGTTAGACTATCCTTGCAATTTTTCTGTAAGTTTAAAGCTATTCTAAAATAGAAATTTTTCAAAATGGGTTAATACAAAATGCAGTGGTTTCTAAAAGAAAGATGCCTACGTCTACAGCAGTCCCAGCCTGCTTATTGACTATGACATGTTGGCCTTTGCATAGATGTAAAGACAGAGGCAACTTCTGGGCGACTATTAAAAAATTACAATTTAATCATCAAATGCAAAGCACCGACTTACAGTCGATTCCGTTTCCTCCAGCACAGTGACTTCCTAGGACTTCCTTTCATGGAAGCACAGCATCAACTTCTGCAAGGCCACATCTGTTTACGGGTGAGCTTCCCAAGCACATTCTCTCACCATTCTTCCGCATGTCTGCAGCAACCCAGGGTACTGTTCCCAGGGTTTACAGTGAACTCATGAATTCAAAGCCCTTCTGATGTGGTACCCACTTCTTGCAGGCCACTTTCTTCTCTTCACATTCGTCCAAGATCTCTATGTTTATATCATTCCAGCCCAAATGTCTCCAACCCTAAGAATTCTTCCACAATGCCTAATTCCTCTTTTAGGTTGTTTAACTGCTTTTTTCCACACTTATAATAGTCTGCAAGGAAGTAGATTATCCACCTGTATATCTGCCTCAATAAGTTGGAACCTCACTGGGCCAACACAATGCATGGTCAAGACCTTTAGAAAAATTTCTTATGCAACAGTGGGTTAATGAGTAAATGTTTCATATCTCTCTCTCTCTCTTTTTGTCTCTCTCTCTCTCTCTCTCTCTCTCTCTCTCTCTCTTTCTGTCTGTATGTCTCTGTCTCCTACTCATACTTGTCTAGAACCTCCATCTCCTTTCTTAGCTTCTACCAATACAATCATTTGTTTTTCTTCTTTCTTAATTTGGTGATATAATGAATCATGTTGACAGATTTCCAGATAATGAGCCATCGTTGCATTCCTAAAATAAATCCTGCAAGTCACAGTTGTATTCTGTTGATACATTGATGAATTAACTATGTGAGGGTTTTTAAAAGAATTTTTATACATATAATCATAAATAAGATCATCCTGTACTGTTTTTACTTGTGCTTATTTTATTTATTACTGAAATGTAGTATGTTGGCTCTACATTGTGTTCCATTGTTCATATTAGTTTAATAATGACCTTGGAAGTATCTGATCTTTAAAGGCGAAGCAAATTTCAACACAAAGTCACCTCGATGTGATAGCCTTTTAAAAAAATTGATAGCATATAAGTTCTATAATAAAGGTAGCAGTTTTATATTCCTGTTAAGGTGATTGTTCAGCACTTATATGTAGTAGGAAAGTTATTCAGTCCCTCTAGATTTTATCTATTTACCCTTTCAACCAAACTACTTCTTGATTAAAAGTGATTTCTTGTTTCCTATGTATCATTTAGATCCCGAGAATCACTTCCTACTAGTCCTGAAAGACCTAAGCCAAGCACGCCATCTTTTAGAGCAATGTGCTCTGTCCCTACACAGCAACAGCACCTGGCACCCTCTTGTCACATGCTCATCACACGCTATTGTGCCTGGCTGCACACTCCCCCAGAGTAAACACTGGAATCTTAAAGAGCAGACATGCTAATGACTTTATCATCCTGGGGTCCATGGAGTGATAGGCATTAAATAAACATGCCTATTAATTTAATAAATAAATGAATTTATATTCCTACCACTGGAGCATCGGATGAATCATACTCTCAATGTATATTCAGCGAGTTTAACGTCTGCCTAAGGAAGATATGCGATATGTGCACAATGAGAAGGACAGTAACACAGAAAGGCGATGGGAAAATATCAGGCTGAGTCACCAGAGACAGCACAGGTTTAGCAGGGGAGGCTCTTAACCAGGACTCTGAGTTCACAGACACTGAAAGGTAAGGGAGTAACAAGAACAATGATCAGAAATAATAATCCAGGAACAAAGCAAGGAAAGTTTGGGGCACAGGCAGCTGATCTCCCATCCTGACGTGAAGGACTCAAGAAGAATGGGTGAGGAAAGATTTTTTTCAAAGATATGAAATACAGAGATAAGAAACTAGAAGTCTTATCTTGGGACAAGAATCTAGCAAGAGTAAACACTCAAAGTAAGAAAAATTAGAGCCCAAAGGATGGACCCAAGGAAGTATATCTGACAAATTCAGTCAGACAAGGAAGCCCTCTGGCCCTAGGCCTCTTCTCAGCTATTCCAGAGTGACTTTTGGCAAACTGATCTGTGAAGTTTCAATCAGCTAAAATATACAATAGTGTTCCCTCCACTACATTTGGAGAGCAGGTCTTCGTTTTGAGAAGTAGGTTTGCAAAAATGTCACAGGTATAATGAACAGATGCATGACCTAGCATGTGTCAGATGGGGCCTCTTAACTCCTCGGAGAGTGGCCCAATAGAAACACAACAACAGGTAGTGATGAGAGCTGGTTTTGCTGGACCGAAACTTACTGTGTTCTTACTGTCTCTGGTTCTAGGTAGGTTTCACTGTAGGTTAACAATCATCATGAAAGCAAGAAGTGAAAAGGAAGATCCCCTCAGAGGTTCTGAAAATACACACCACCGCCAGAAGAGGAGAAAACAA